ATACTGAGATCGATGTGGTGCCCCGAGGTGTCCCGTGGTGTCCCGTTGAGTGAGATCGATAGTGAGATCGACAGGTGTCCCGTGGTGTCCCGTGGTGTCCCGTGGTGTCCCGTTGAGTGAGATCGATAGTGAGATCGATGTGGTGCCCTGAGGTGTCCCGTGGTGTCACGTGATAACCCGCTGAGTGAGATCGATAGTGAGATCGATAGTGCGATCGGCAGGTATCCCGAGGTGTCCCGTGGTGTCCCGCTGAGTGAGATCGATAGTGAGATCGATCGTGAGATCGATAGTGAGATCGATAGTGAGATCGATGTGGTGCCCCGCGGTGTCCCGTGGTGTCCCGTGGTGTCCCGTTGAGTGAGATCGATGGTGAGATCGATAGTGCGATCGACATGTGTCCCGTGGTGTCCCGAGGTGTCCCGTGGTGTCCCGCTGAGTGAGATCGGTAGAGAGATCGATACTGAGATCGATGTGGTGCCCCGATGTGTCCCGTGGTGTCCCGTGGTGTCCCGCTGAGTGAGATCGATAGTGAGATCGATAGTGCGATCGACAGATGCCCCGAGGTGTCCCGTGGTGTCCCGTTGAGTGAGATCTATAGTGAGATCGATAGTGAGATCGATGTGATGTCCGGAGATGTCCCGTGGTGTCCCGTTGAGTGAGATCGATCGTGAGATCGATAGTGAGATCGATGTGGTGCCCCGTGGTGTCCCGTGGTGTCCCGCTGAGTGAGATCTATAGTGAGATCGATAGTGAGATCGATGTGATGTCCGGAGGTGTCCCGTTGTGTCCCGTTGAGTGAGATCGATAGTGAGATCGATCGTGAGATCGATATTGAGATCGATGTGGTGCACCGAGGTGTCCCGTGGTGTCCTATGGTGTCCCGCTGAGTGAGATCGATAGTGAGATCGATAGTGAGACCGATAGTGAGTTCGAGAGGTGCCCCGCGGTGTCCCGTGGTGTCCTGTGGTGGCCCGTGGTGGCCCGTGGTGTCCCGTTGAGTGAGATCGATAGTGCGATCGATAGTGAGATCAACAAAAGTCCCGTGGTGTCCCGTGGTGTCCCGTTGAGTGAGATCGATAGTGAGATCGATTGAGTCAGATGTTGGTTCCCCCCCCCCTCTCCCCCCCCACAACCTCCTTATCACCTGAAGGGTGGTCGTATAGGTATACGCCCCCTCCCCTAGGCGACCACGGGCCAACCAGGCACCATGCCGACACCATGCCGACCCGCCCCCCACCATCACTGTCAAACAACAGTACAAACCGCACTCTGCCTCCACATTTGGAGCATGTGCCGCCAACCCGATGCGGATATTCCCTGCTGCGCGCAGGGCTACCATCCCGCGATCACTGTCAAGTGGTTTTTGCCAGGGACTGCGGGGATGGTGGCGCGTGGCCTGCTGTGCGCAGGCTCACCAGGCACAATAATGGGCATCGGTTTTCGACAAGGATGGTGGGGGACGACATGTTTTCCGATGTGTGTTGTCACGTGCGCAGGCGCACCTGACGCACTCTGCGCGTACCCCGAACGCGGCGCACCTGGCGCGGCTGGAGTGTGCGGCACACCTGGCGCACTCGGAGCACGTGGCGCATCTGGCGCACCAGGCGTGCTTGCCTGGCACGCTTGGGCCCCAGGGGTGCCTGGCGCGCGTGGCGCCCCTGGCACGCGTGGCGCACTTCGCCCAAGCGTCGCGCACCTTGGGTCGGCTTTGGTTCCCAGTAGCTGTCCATCCAAATACGACCGCTGAACGTGCTCAGGCTCGGGTGTTACTTATGTGTAGGGAGGGCGGGTGGGAGGGAGCTAGACGACTTGCGGGCGGGTGGGTAGCTTGAGCCCTCCCCCTACCCGTCCTCTGGATCTGGAGGGCGGGTTTCGCGAGGCGTTGGAGCGTCCAAGATGGCCCAAGATGGCTCCAAGAGGGCCTCAGAGAGCCCAAGATGACCTCCAAGATGGCTCAAGATAGCTTGAGATGGCTCCAGATGGCTCCCAAGAAGCCCCTAGAGGCCCCAAGACCGCTCCAAGACGGCTCCGAGTGGCCACGGAGTTTCCTAGAAGGTCGTTCAAAAACTCGAGGGAAATCAACGTTCGTTGCCTTCTCGCCTTTTCGCTTCCGATGGCCTTCCGAGGCCTCAAGACAGCTCCAAGAGGGCCCGAGAGGGCCCCAAGAGAGGCCCAAGAGAGCCCCCATTCGGCCCCAAGAGTGCCCAAGAACGCCCCAAGAGCGCTCCAAGAGGGGCCCAGGAAACGATTTCAGGGGCTTCCGACGGGGGAGTGTAATTTTGCTCGAGCTCTTCCAATGGTAGAAAGACCAACCAGTACATCCATTTGGGGATCAGGATATCGGTAGGCGAACGGAGAAATCATCCCGGGTCGACAAACGGAGACATGTTTCGGGGTCGAATGGGAAACACCGAGGACGTCGAACGATGACATTTTCTTCGCCGAGTGGGGCAATTTTTCCCCGGTGAGGGTCTTGCTCGACAACAAGGCGCTCAGCCGCTCGTGCAATCCAGCGTTGTTTAGTTTGTCTGGAGCGGCTTCAGCTGGTACCTTTCTCTTGCCAGGGGGGAGCATGCTGCTTCGCGTGAGTTTGATGCCAATGAACGGAAGATGAATTGGATCGTCAGGGGATCAGTCTTGCGTATTGACGGAGCAGCTCTGATGCTTCTTTTCGGGTCGTGGGCCAGCTTATGCTGCCAACCCATGCCCATCCCGCCCCGCCTCCAGGGATTTCGCTTCTCCGTATGATGGTGGGATGAGGAGACGGTCCGCCGCCCCCTGCTCTACACGTGTTGCGCAGGGTGAGTGGTGATCCGAGTAGAAATCTATGAGGAAGCCCACCGTCCCTCCCCCTTTTCTTCCTACTTCTGGTCCTGTCGGCGATGGCCCGGTCCTGCAGGGGTGTCCGAAAATCGTGTGGGGAAAATGCCAAACACCCGATCCGCAACGAGCGTGGTGCTTGGGGGATCCTGTGGGTAGCTGAAATCCCCAGCCCTCGATGCATCGAGTTCACGACACAGGCACAGTTCTTTCACAGAGGCAGTCCAGCGGACAGGCAGAGTAGAGAAGTGCTACTGTTTCGTCTCCCGCGCGTGGCCATGGGACGCGTCGAACTGAGCAGTTTCTCTTCCGCCCTGTTGTGCTGCCGTTCCGCGCGCTCATCGTACTGCGCAGGGGTGCCTGAAGAAACTAATTATCGCAAATATCAAAGTTCACGATCGCACATTGCGAGGAAGTTTCAAACGACACGGCCGGCACGTTGTAGAGAACATTCTGGCGTGCGACGCTACGGAGTTGTCAATATGGAAATGGGGTGGATGAAGGGGAGGGGGAGGGGCAAGGGGAGGAAAGGAAATTGATATCGATTCGATGACACGTCGTTCACAATGCGCTCCCGAGTTCTTCCAGAGACCGACGGACATAGTTTTTTCGAGCCTCGCCCAACCGTCTGTGCATTCCAGCATCGTGCAGTTTTTCTAAAGCGGTTTCAGCTGGCAACTTTCTCTTGCCAAGGGGGGGTGGGGGGCATACTGCTTCGCGTGAGTTCGAAGCAACTTAACGGACTATGAATTGGATCCGTTACTAGATCAGTCTTGTGTACTGACGTGCAAGCTATGATGCTTATTTTTGGGTCGTGGGCCAGCTTATGTTGCCAACCCATGCCCATCCCGTCCCGTCTCCAGGGATTTCGCATCCCCCATACGGTGGTGGGATGGGGAGACAGTCCGCCGCCTCTTGCGCTGCACGTGTTGCGCAGGTTGAGTGGGGATTTGAGTTGAATTCTTTGAGGGAGCCCCCCGCCCCTGCCCCTTCCCTTCCTGCTCCTGGCCCTGTCGGCGATGGCCCGGTCCTGCAGGGGTGTCCGAAAGTCTTGGGGGGAATGCCAAATGCCCGATACGCTGCGAGCGCGGTGCCTGGGGGGCCCTGTGGGTAGCTGGAATCCCCGCAGGATCCCCCAGGCACCGCGGAGACGCCTTCGGGAGAGCCGTCTGCGTCGTCGTCGCCTGTCGCAATCGCTACCTGCCGAAATCGAATCGGAATAGAGAGCCCGCAAAACCAAAAGCCGACACCATTAATCTGAAACCAGCCTGAAGAAATCATCGAAAGGGTCGCGGCCGAACACCGCGCCCGCCTCAATTCTGAAAGCTCCCGCTTGACGGCGACGCCCCCCGCCAAGCAGAGCTTTCATTTCCAAGGCATGGTGCGCTGGTCCGCCGCTAGTCCGCGAACGCATAACCCGAATCCGAATTCCAAACCTTAAGTCTTTAACCCTAACCCTTAACCTTAACCCCATCCCTGACCCGAGCCCCCGTCCGGATGCTGCTCGTCGAGATCGAACCGGAGGAGAAAACCCGCAGCAACAACAGCATACGCCATCAATCTGAACCCAGCCCGAGCAAAAAATCGGTGCAGTAATCGCGGCCGATCAGCGCGCCCGCTCTAATTCTGAGAACTCCCGCTCGAGGGCGACGCCCCCAGCCAAGCAGAGCTTTCATGTTGAAGGCATGGTCCGCTGGTCCACCGCTAGTCCGCGGTCCTACCCTAATCCTTAATCCTAACCCATCGCCCTAACCCCAAAGCCTAAACCGTAACCCTAACCCTAAACCTAACCCCGAATCCTAACCCCCTGCCAGCGCACTCAGGATGGAAATCGTTCGCCTCTGAGTGCCCCTCTCCTCCCTCCGCCCCAGCGGCCTCCCTGTCTGTCTCAGTCTCGCTTCTCGCACGCTGGGCTATTTGCTCTTCGGTAGCCTTGTTTATGGTTTGCATCGTGTCCAGGGTCACCACACCACCCATTCTCTGCTATTCAATGTACCTCTTTTTTCTTTGACGCGGCGTCGGACAAAGTTCGGCCGCGATTCACGCCTCCATCCATGGACCGCGCCTGAGGTTCCTCTGCGCCGCTGACTTAAAAACAAAAAAAGCGTGTGCGTGTGTGCGTATGTCTCCTCGCCGGGAAGAGGTGCGCTCTCGACCCGCGGATCAAAAGAGTGTGCGCGTGCTTGCCTCGCCGCCGCCGGCTCCCCGCCCCTGGCCCCGCCCTGAGCGGGCCCCGGGGGCCAGGCGTCTTCTCCCGCCCGCCCGCGCCGGGGCTCCTCTCCCCTCCTCCCGTGCTCTGCGGCTTCATTCGCGTCTTGCGCGTCCCACTGATGCCACATCGCCAGAGCAGTCCCTCTGCCCAGCCGCCGACGGGAAAAGTGTGCGCGCGCGTGCGCGCGTGCGCGCGCGCGCGTGCGTGCGTGTGTGCGCGCGTGCGTGCGTGTCTCTGTGTGTGTGCCTTGCCACGCTGGCGTTGCACAGAGAGCGGCCGCACCCGAGGGCTGCCTGCCCCAGACGCGGCTCTTCCGGGCGCGGCCCCCGCCGGCTGCAGCAGGAGCGGCGCCGCGGCAGCCGCGGGCGCCTCGCAGCGGCAGTGCCCGCAGCCCGACGCTGCGTCGACGCAGGGCTCCCAGGCCCAGGGTGCGAGAACACGCAAGGCCCCCTCCCGGGCCCTTGGCCCGTCGTTCGCCGCTCGCCCCACATTCGGTCGCACCTCCTTGTTTTTCTTCTCCTCCTCCTCCTCCTCCTCCTCCTCTTCCTCGGGTCCGCGTCCGCCACTTCCTCCTCGGGTCCGCTTCCTCCTTCTCCTCCTTCTCGGGACCGCCGCCTCCTTCTTTGCTGTTCTTATTCCTCCTACTCCTCCTCCTCTTCTTCCTCCTCCTTGGGTCCTCCTCCTCCTCCTCCTCCTCCTCCTCCTCCTCCCCGTCCTCCTCGTCCTCCTGCTCCTCCTGCTCCTCCTCCCGCCTCCTCTTCTCCTTCCTCCTCTTCCCCTTCCTCATCCTCCTCCGCCTCCTTTTCCTCCTCCTCCTCTTCAGGTCCGCCTTCTTCAGGCCCCACGTCGGGTCATTGCTGTCACCGCAGGTGCCGCCGGATTCCACGGTGCCTGGCCTGAGCGCGTCGCTTCTGCAGCAGCACGGCGTGTTCAAAGTCGGCGGTGACTTCCCGCCCACTCTCTCCACGCAGGCGCCTTCGAATTTGACTCCTCTTGCTCCCTCTTCCTCCTCATCTTTCACTCGCCCCTGATCCTCCTCATCCTCTCTCTCAATCTCTCTCCTTCCTTGTCTCTTTTTTCCCCCTCCTTCTCCTCCTTGCTCTTCCAGTCACAACCTGGCGGCCGACAGAGTCCGTCCACCACCAGCCTGAGTGAAACACGTGGCCAGGGGCGCACGTTGCAGCCGCCCTTGGCCACACGGTTCGGACAAGGTCGCAAGGCACGCAGAGGCCCCAGTGAGGAGCCAGCGTGCTGAGCCCGCAAGGCCAGGCTGCCAAACGGGTCTGACCTCAACGGTGGCATACACAGCAAGAGCCAGGAGGCCAGACCCAAGGACCCAGGAACCAGGAGCCAGACCGAGCGCGAGCAGCTCGGGAGGCCAGGATCGAAGGGGCGCCAGGAGAGAGAGCTCCAGGCGCCACAGGACAAATGCCGAGGCACAAACACCTGCTGGCCGCGTCCCGTCAGAGGCGGGGGAGGGCTACAAGCAAGGAACAACAAATAATTACCCTGTGACGTACCCAACCCATTCGTATCAATGGAAACGAGGAGTTGGCCGAAACTTGCATGGACAATCAACTTGATGTGTAAGCTACTTGGGACACGCGCCTATGGCATGATGCGCAGGAGAACCATACAAGAACGAGGGGCGGCAGCTACAGGCTCGAAGAGGACATGGGGAGTCGGGAGCGCAGAGCAGGAGAAAAACGTGCGGGAAGCCGAACCATCAGCACGGCAGCAGCAGAGGGAAGGTGATTGCAGGAGGAGAACAAGGACGAAAGCGGCGTTTAATTTGAGTCTGCGGTGGGTACCCACTATGCTGTGCCCCTCAGCAGCCTTCGAAAATGGCGACAGTTTCACAGATCGCAGCCCCCCAGGGATGGCGAGGTCTAGTTTGAGTCTGGGTACCCACTGCGCTGTGCCCCTCAGCAGCCCTCGAAAGTGGCGACAGCTTCACAGATCGCAGCCCCCCCAGGGATGGCGAGGTCTAATTTGAGTCTGCGGTGGGTACCCACTGTGCTGTGCCCCTCAGCAGCCCTCGAAAGTGGCGACAGTTTCACACATCGCAGCCCCCCAGGGACGGCGAGGTCTAATTTTAGTCTGCGGTGGGTACCCACTGTGCTGTGCCCCTCAGCAGCCCTCGAAAGTGGCGACCGTTTCACAGATCGCAGCCCCCCAGGGATGGCGAGGTCTAGTTTGAGTCTGCGGTGGGTACCGACCGTGCTGGGCCCCACAGCAGGCCTCGAAAGTGGCGACAGTTTCACAGATCGCAGCCCCCCAGGGGTGGCGAGGTCTAGTTTGAGTCTGCGGTGAGTACCCACTGTGCTGGGCCCCCCTCCAGGCCTCGAACGTGGCGACAGTTTCACAGATCGCAGCCCCACAGGGATGGCGATGTCTAATTTGAGTTTGCGGTGGGTACCCACTGTGCTCGGCCCCCCAGCAGGCCTCGAAAGCGGCAACAGTTTCACAGATCGCAGCCCCCCAGGGATGGCGAGGTTTAATTTGAGTCTGCGGTGAGTACCCACTGTGCTGGGCCCCCAGCAGGCTTCGAAAGTGTCGACAGTTTCACATATCGCAGCCCCCAGGGATGACGAGGTCTAATTTGAGTTGGCGGTGGGTACCCACTGCGCTGGCCCCCCCAGCAGGCCTCGAACGTGGCGACAGTTTCACAGATCGCAGCCCCCCAGGGATGGCGAGGTCTAGTTTGAGTTTGCGGTGAGTACCCAGTGTGCTGGGCTCCCCAGCAGGCCTCGAAAATGGCGACAGTTTCACAGATCGCAGCCCCCCAGTGATGGCGAGGTCTAATTTGAGTTTGCGGTGAGTGCCCACTGTGCTGGGCCCCCCAGCACGCCTCGAAAGTGGCGGCAGTTTCGCAGATCGCAGCCCCCCAGGGATGGCGAGGTCTAGTTTGAGTCAGCGGTGAGTACCCACCGTGCTGGGCCCCCCAGCAGCCCTCGAAAGTGGCGACCGTTTCGCAGATCGCAGCCCCCCAGCTGGCACGCAGCGACGAGCGAGGCAAAAGGCAAGGGGGAAGAGAGGGGGGGGGGAAGGAGGCAAGGAGACGCGCGAGCAGTGCTCTATTCAAAACGAGAACCCAACGCAGGAAGGTTGGGAACAAACGCCGTCTTCGCCACAAGCTGAGCCGAGGCTCGCGCGGCCAGTCGGATAGGTCATCAGGCTTGGCAGTAGAACCCTCGGATGAAACACAGCGGGCCGCACGAGCCCACGTGCCAAGGGAGGGACCCGTGAAGACCAGGTAGCGAGCTGGGCAATTCCACAAAAGGCGTGTCAAAGAGAGAGCTGCCAACAGAGCAGACACACTGAGAGCTGCAGCAGCGGCCAGCGCAGGCGCAAGCACCGCACACAGAGACCTCACTGTCTAAGCCACCCTGAGCTTGACCCGAGACGACACGAAGCACCTTGCCCCCTCCTCCTCCCCCTCCTCCTCCCCCATCCTCCTCCTCTTCCTCCTCGTTCTCCTCCTCCTCCTCCTCCTCCTCCTCCTCCTCCTCCTCCTCCTCCTCCTCCTCCTCCCCCTCTGAATTCTCCTTTCGCTAGCCCCTTGAGCACCTTCTGCGCCCAGTCGGTCACGACTGAAGGGCACGGGGTCCCAAGGCTGGAGACACGACAGGCGGCAGAGCATGTGCAGCGCGTGCAGCCAGTAACTAAAGGACCGTGCTGCAACTGGATGCATGCACGAGCATGCGCCTTCGATCCCGCGTCCAAGTTGGCCTGAGCAGCTAACACACCACTCACGATGTCGTTGGGCACGGGCTTGCGCACAGGGAACAGGTAAGTGACGGGGAGCTTCCCACTGAGGTGCTTTTTGTGTTCCCACAATCAGCCAGCCGGTCCGAGGAACACCCATTCCAACAGCCCCATCACTTCAACACTTGACGCCTCGCCTTGAATTGCTTCAAAGCGCTGAAACTAATACGGGAGAGCTCGGCTTCGCTTCTGGCCGCCTCGTCGGCATTCGAGTTGCCGAAACGATGTTGGTCCGTAGTGCGAACAAGCTGACCATCGACTCCTCCTCTATCCCCTCCTCCTAGACTCCTCCTTCCTCTCCTCTCCTCTCCTCCTCCTCCTCCTCCTCCTCCTCCTCCTCCTCCTCCTCCTGATCATCATCACAACCCTCATCATCATCATCATCATCATCATCATCATCATCATCATCATCATCATCATCATCATCATCATCATCATCATCATCCTCATCCTCATCATCATCATCATCATCATCATCACCATCATCTTGACCATCATCAGCATCCATCATCAGTATCATCATGATCATCGCACTATCATCATCAACATCAATAGCGTCATCGTCGTCATCATCATCATACTCATCATCACTATGATCATCATCAGCATCACCATCATCATGACCATCATCCGCATCACCAGCATCGTCGCAATACGGCAATCATCATCACCAACATCAGCATCAGCATCATCATCATCATCATCATCATCATCATCATCAGCATCGTCATCGTCATCGTCATCATCATCATCAGCATCATCACCATCACCATCACCATCACCATCACCATCACCATCATCATCATCATCATCATCATCATCATCATCATCATCATCATCATCATCATCATCATCTGCACCACCAATATCATCACCAGCACCACCATCTTCAGCATCATCACCACCATCATCATTATCATCACCATCATAAGCATCACCACCACCACCATCATCAGCATCAGCACCACCAGCATCAGCATCAGCATCAGTATCAGCATCATTATCATCATCACCACCACCTCCCCGCTCCTCCTCCTCCTTCTCCTCCTCCGCGTTCCCCCTTCTCCTACTCCTCCTCCGCGCTCCCCCTTCTCCTCCTCCTTCTCCTCCTCCTCCTCCTCCTCCTCCTCCTCCTCCTCTTCCTCTTCCTTCTCGTCCGTCCGCCCCTGAAGGGGTGCCTCGGCGCGAGGGAGGCGCGTCGGGGCCCCAGGGGAGCTGATGTCCACCAGGTCATGTTTTGTGGGGGCTCCGCTGCGGTAGGAAGGGCCGTGCCCCGTGGTCCTTGTACGGGCTCCCCGGGTTTGTCCTTGGGGCGGGTGGTTTTGGTCCGCGGGGTTCAGTCTTTCTCTGCCGTACGGTCCCACTGCAGGCGCCCCCCGCCTCTGGTTGGCCAGGTTTTAAGGGTGTTGGGCCGGGGTCGCCCCGACCGTTTGCGTAGGCGGGGGGGGGCTTTAGGGTGCGGGCTACCTGCCTACGGGCTGTGGGGGTGGTTTTGGGTCCCGCCATTCCCACGCGGTGGCCGAGGTGATGACATGGTCCCCTGACCTCAGAGATGCGAGAGGCTTTGGGCGGCATCCAGATGTGCCGTGCTTTGAGTGTGGATCGGCGGCGGGTGAGTGGGCCTTGTGAGCAGGCGGCGGCGTTTGTAGGTTTGCTTATGTGGTGGGTTTGGGCTCCCGATGGAAAGCGCAGTGACTTGTGGCTGCAGCTGCCTATCTGTTGCTCCCCTCCTGTTTCTTGGTGTTGAGGTAGTGTGTAGCATGTAGACAGGCAGAGGCATGCATGGCCGAGGGTGGCTGCGTTGCAGGAGACGTGTGGACAAGGTGGCATGGCAGATGCGCGAGTATGCGCGCACTCCAGATATTCTTTGGCACGAGAAGCATCATGGTAGCGGAGCTAGCGGAGACCAGCTCCAGCTAGCGCCCCCCGGCGGCGCCGGTCTCCAGGCGTGCGCGTAACAGTGCCATCGCGAACGATCTACTGCAGACCGTACAATGGCATAGTGAGGCGAGGCGAAGCCCGCCATGAGTGGGTTTGGGTACAGCCGAGCAGCCCAGGGCGCTCGGGAAGTAGCCGGGCGGAGTTTGCAGTTAGACCGCAGCAGTGGCGGCGGGTGTCGTTTGGCAAGGGGGCGGCCTCGAGCCGCCCACTCTCGACGGACCCGAGGAGCACTGGCAGGAGCGGTCCTTTGTGATGAGAGACTTCCTCGGAGGGCAGACGCAGGTGACCCAGCGCCTGCTGGGGGCGACTGGGGGTCTCGGGAGCGAGCCCGACACCTCGGCAGAGCGCATCCTGAATTCGTCCGATGACGAGGGCACCGCGGCAAGCCATGAGATGTTCCTCAGACTGGTCATGACAATGAAGGGCGTCGCTCAGATGATCGCGCGAGGATTTGATCAACATAACAGTGCAGCAGCTTGGAGGGTTGCGCATGAGGTGCGAGCCAGGCGGCGGTTTGGGTCCAGAGTATCATGGCGAGAATCTTGGAGGTCAAGCAGTTCCCACATGCCCGAGCGGAGTTCGAGGAGGCTCGCGCGGAGTGGGGGCGCGACATCACGTGGTGCGAGATGGCAGCAGGCGAAGATTTTAACGTGGGCGTGGTGTGGATCATCTATCTCTACAAAGCGCCTTAGAATATCTGGGCGGTGCTCCAGATGGCGATCGAGCGAACCTACGACGAGCGCGCGGCGACCACCGCCCAGTGCCTGCGGGCGGCGACGATCTACGACGACGGGTGCCAGGAGCCCCCGCCCCCGCCGCCCTGGCCCCTCCAAGGGGCCCCAACTACGTGGAGGTCGACCCATTTACTCGGGCCTGCGGCCTGGGCAGAGGCAAGGGCAACGGTGGCGGGGGGGCAGGGGCGACGGGGGCGAGGGCAGAAAGACAAGAGAAAAGACAGCTGGGGAGGCGAACCAGACACAGACGACACCAGGCCCGAGTGCTTCAACTGCGGGCGCATGGGGTCGCCGCGCAAGGGGCCGCTGGCGCCGGGCCAAGGCAGGCGGTGAGACGTGGCCCAGGGGGTCGGTCGCGGGGCCCCAGGGGCAAAGGTAGGGGACGAATCGGCCAGGGTGGCTCGGTCAACGAAATCTCAGCGCAACTGGGTGCTTGGTCGCTAGTGGGCTCTTCACCCGGCAGGGCGGCGGCAACGACCGTGAGCCCCTCAGCCAGCCGCGTCGGGGCGCCTGGCCCCGGGGGCAGGCGGCGCCGGGAAGCGTTGCATCCATCGCGCAGCAGGCGGCGATCCCCGAGCTCTTTCTGGAGCCAGGCAACATGTCTGCGGTGACGGAGAGGCCCATGCTCAGCAACGTTAGGACTGAGGGCGAGTGGGCCAGCGTGTCGATGCTGACCGACATCTGCGCGGGCGAGCACGCGCGCGGCCAGCGCGACTTCCCGTGGGTTCCCATGGCGCCCAGGGGGGGTCCGAACATGGCGGCGGCAGACGGCGCTCCGCTGAAGCACTGCGGCCAGCAGACGGTCGTTTTCTACGTCGCAGGCAACTCCGATATCATCCCAGAGTTCCAGTTGGCGTGCGTCAAGCAGCCTATCGCGAGCGTCGGCAAGTTCCGCGCAGGGCGCGGCAACCGAGCGGCGCGGCGCGACGAACAGGGGGGGGCGCGGCGACGCCAGACAACCACTGCACACTCCATTCGAATTCTCGGCTAGGAACGGGCGCGTCCAGGACTGCTCGACGGTGGGCGGCGCGCTCGCGGCGCCGCGGGGGGCAGTCGCGGCGGCGTGGCGAGGGGGGGGGGGGGGGCGGCCGTGCGGCAGAGCGTTCGCTGGCAGACGGGCCATTCGCTTAGGCAGCGTGGCCCCGACTAGCGGCAGGTGGGCCACTGGCTCAGGCGGCGGGGGCGCGGCCTGCAATTGGCCGATGCGCCCATGAAGGGCCGGCGGCGTTCCTCCGCGGTCGCCCCCACCTGGGCCCCGAGCCTCGCGAACCGAGTGAGGAGTAGATTTCTAGGCGCGAATTAACGAGCTACCCGGCAGAACCCTGGCATGAGGTCTGCGCAGGCGAAGGCCAATGACGCGGCGCGCAGGAGGGTTGACAGGGGGGTGCTGCCATCCCGCCGATCATTCAATTCAGGCAGGAGAGGGGCGATGCAGTTAACGGCGAGTCCGTGGCCGGGAGCGACGCCTCCAAGGGTTGCACGTGACGCGCAGTAATTATCAAGAAGGGTCGCGACGACCCTTGCACGATTGCCTCAGCGGTGCAGTGGCCGGCTGAACTGGGGCACTCACGAGTCGAAATGTAGCCGGGAGGCGCAGCGGAGTGAGCGTTCATCGCGGCGGAGAGGGGGGGGGGGCGCCGCGGGGCGGGATCTGCCGGGCCATCCCGACGAGGCAGGCGGAGAGGTGCGACTTGCCGGGCAGAAAGAGCCATCCAGATTGTGAGGAAGCAGGTGGGGGCCCTCATCATGGCGGCATTGAAGGATTGGGAACGACCGCTTCGGGTTGGGCTGCCCGTCTCTCGCGCGGCGACCCCGCCGCGCAACGTCGCTGCGCGCGGGAAGGGAGGGCGCAAACCTTGTGTCCTACGAGAAGACGCACATGCAGAGTGCCAGAAACCGATCGCGGCAGTCGGCGAGGCGGCGATCTGCAGACCGCCCGTTGTCCAGGTCCACAAGTTCGAGCTCTTGCGGCTGGAGGGCATCTGGCTGGGCAGGGGTGCCGGGGCCGAAGGGCGCATCATCGGCGCCCCCGCGGGAGTCGGCGGGTCCAGGGCGATCGGGCGGATAGTGGGGGGCATGCGCGGGGGCCCAGCCTCGCTTAACAATGTGGCCCAGGCGCCTCGGAGGCGACGCCAGTGTCGAAGGGGGGCCGCTGATGCAGAGATCGATCCATGAGCCGATCATCTTGGCGCCACTCACCGCGATTGCACAGGCCGGGTCGCCAGCCCCGCCGGCCGCGGCGGGGGGCGCAGCGGCGCCAGCGGGGGGGGCGGGCCCACCAGGGCGAGGGGCCTCGCCGGGAGCGGGGACCCCGCCAGGAGGAGGGAACCCACCAGGGCGAGGAGCCACATCAGGAGGACACTTAGCAGCACTGCGCGCTCCCGGATCTGCGGCGGCGGCGCCGCGAGGCTCCGCGCCATTCGACGACGCGGGCGACGATGTGGCCAGACTGTAAGCTGCGCGCTGCGCGCCGCAGGTGTAGGCCGCCCATGGGCGCGGGCCCGCCGCCGCCAGCTCAGGCGGCGGGGGCGGCGGCGGCGAGCAGCTCAGCACAGCCGGCTCAGGCGGCGGCGCGGGCGGCGCCATCAGCCCGGACAGCGACCCCCGAACGGGGGCGAGACGGAGACGACGGAGGCGACCAGGCCAGGGGCAGGTCGCGGATCGCCACGACTTACGCGGCCAGCGAGATGCGCGTGGAGTTGGCGACGGAGGTCGACGAGGCCAACGCGAACGGAGGCGACTTCCAGCAGACCGTGAAGCAGACTGCGTTCGCCGAGGCGACCTCCAAGATCCTGACAGGCAAGCGGGTCGACGCCTACCAGGCCGACGGCAGCGAAGGGAGTAGGAGGGCCGCGCGGGGATCCGAGCAGTAGATTTAGGGGAGCGAGAATTGGGTGGCCACCACTCCGCCACTGCCACACCTGCCAGCGACGTTGTCAACGCAGACGTGAACGGCCACGCGGCGGCATCTGGCCACTGCAAGTGGGGCGTTCTACCAGGCGCCACTGACGGAGGACACTCCTTGGAACCGCCACCCGAAACGGGAGTGCCAGCAGGTTGCGCGTGGGACGCGCTGCGCGCGTTCCCTGGGCTCGAAGGAGCGCCCGCGGCATGGGGGGATCACGGCGCAGCGGCGATGGGGCAGGTGGGTCTTGATCGAGGGCGCTGCGACGGCTGCGTCTTCATGCGGCCAAGGAGAAGGGGTGGGCAGGACTACGCGCTGACGACTTCCTCCCGGCAGGGCGCTGGGAGTCGGTGGACGATCTGCTGGCGGCAATGGGCGATGAGTTTTGGACCTCGGGCGCGGTGAGCGATGCGGCGCAGGCAACGAGGGCGCCTTCCTGGGCATGCAGGTCCGCAAGATTGAGCGCGGCCATGCCGTCGAGGGCGAGACGCGTCCGATGGGGGACAGACGGCGAAACCCTCCGCAGTCCCGAAGACGAAGAACGAGGTTGAGCAGGGGAACGATGATGTGTTCCTGAACGCGCCAGGCCACGACGTCAGTGCAACTGTCAAGTCGGGCCGCTGACATGTGGCGCGGGTTTGGAGCGCCCAGCCGTGGCATTGCCAGTTCAGGGAGACCAGGGGAGGTTGACGAAGATGGCGAGGTATCTGACACGGATCAAGGACATGGAGTAAGTGGTGAAACTAGACAAACAGGTCGAGCAGATCGCGCAGTGCCGCGCGGGCGCAGACGATTAGATTGTCAGCCAGCGGCAGTGCACTGGGGCACTGCGGGCGCCCTGCTGTCGCGGGCGCGGCGTCAGGGTGGCGTGGCCCCGAGCTCAGCGGAAAGCGTGCTGCGCGCGTTAGTGTCCGGAGCAGCCGAGGCGCTCGGATTGGCGTCGCCGATGGGCGAGCGGCGCGAGAGCGCGACGCCGAACCTCGCCAACGACAGCAGCAGCGCGCTGCGTATCGCGGACAGGAGAAGACCAGGAAAGGTGGGGAACATCGAGATCAGGTTCTGGGCTTCGCAGCAGTGTCGAGAACAGAAGCGCCTCGAGTTCGAAAACGCCCACGCGGACGACGACTAAGCATGCATGCTGACGAAGCCGACGTCCCAGGGAAAAGTGGCGAAGTTCTCCCGCAGCGTAGGTTTAGTAGACGGGTCGTGAGGCCAACGTGCCTTGCCCAAGCTCGTTTTCCAGGCATTCCCTCTCGATCCCTGGGCCTGCAGGCCTGGCGGAATCGAGGGCGCGTTGAGGTAATGTGTAGCATGTAGGAGGGCAGAGACATTCAGGGCCGAGGGCGGATGCATTGCAGGAGAACTGTGGCTTAGGTCGCACGGGAAATGTATAACAGCGCGCGCGCTCCGCAGCCCATTTGGCACGAAAAGCATCACTTGGCACTGTTTTGCGGAGGCCGCTTCGCATGTCGCTGAATTTGTTTTGCGTTTCTGGAGTGCCCTGAGAGTTTTGTGGCACGTATGTAGTGTCGCCCGAATTTCTATTTGAGTCTTCATTGGCCACAGCGTGGCCTTGCAACAAAATCCAGCATCATCCTCCTCGTCCTCCTCCTCCTCCGTCCTTCTCCGTCCTCCGTCCTTCGCCTCCTCCCTCCTCCCATTCCCTCCGCGCAGGCCCCCTCGAACTTCGCCCCCTCCGCGAGCACCGACTACTCGCAGCCCAACTCCCAGGGCGCTACGCAGCCGGCGTGGGTGCTTTCGCAGCCGATCTTGCCACAACCAGCCGCCCCACAGCAGTTCATGCCCCAGCCGGTTTGGCCGACGCAGTCGCAAGCTGCCTCGCAAGGTGGGCTCTTGGGGACGGGGGAGGGAAAGCGTCCGACCTTCCCGCCCCCCGTTTTGTCCTCCTCCTCCTCCTCCTCCTCCTCCTCCTCCTCCTCCTCCTCCTCCTCCTCCTCCTCCTCCTCCTCCTCTTGTTTCTCCTTCTGCATGGCCCTCCGTGCCTCCGATGCCTTCTCCAGGCCTCGTGCTCTTCGGAGGCCCGCTTGTGCTC